AAAAAATTATGACCTATAAAATGTTCGATTTGTAATTATAAAATAATTTGTGACCTATAAATTTTTTTATTGTGAGTGAGAAATAACTTGTGATCAATTAATTTATAATTTGTGATCAAATTATATGTAATTGTAACCTTAATATATTTAATTAATAAAATATATGTTTAATTAATTAATTTATAAATAAAATTTGAAAAAAAAAATTGACATTTGAAATTTTAAACCTTAGGTTCTTAAATTTGAAATGAGTGAAATTTTACCTCTTATTTATGAATTTAACCAGTGGATTTTGGCTTCAACCCCAGCCCATGGAATCAGACTGAAGCCGAATCTATTTCACTCCTGGACTGGACAGCTCTTCTGGCCCATAATCAACCTGCAGGTTTTAGCCTTACACAAACCTCCCCGCTCCCGCCAATCCGCCATTTCTGCATCTACCGCCCAATTTCCTCTCCATCTTACACACACCCAGAGCGAATACTGCAGATACAGAACAAGAAACGTAAGATCAAGAGAATAAACTATTTTTCCGTTGTTCATTTCTCATTTCAATTGAGGAGAAATGAGCGGTGCAATGAGAAATAAAGTGCAAAGAAAATTCAAGATGAGAGGCTACACGCTAAAAGTGGAAGCCCTCTCCGAAATACATTCATTTGTTAGCCGCTTTTCGGAAGCAGAGGACGAAGCCCTCGATCTCCTCCTTGACGAGCTCCACCACTCCTCCCGTAAAGTCTTGACTTTTTGAGTTATTTTTACCGAACATGAATTTTTGAATTACTTTATATATTAACAAAATTTAATTTTTCTCAAACCGTTTGTTTGGAATTAATTTTGTGTTGCAGTGAAGTCTTCGATACTGGATAAGGAGTCGGTGCACCGAGTTGTGAGTCTTGCTGGAAGCCGAGGCTGCAGTGGAGGAGAGCCCAACAAGTAGTGGTTATGGTTCAGCAGCTTCTGCTCTTCGGATTATTCATGCATTTGATTTCCCCAAATTTCATTACGACCCTATCAAGAAGAATTTTCACGAGTGTATATATATATATATATAAATTTTGTTTTTTGCTCTCATTTTAGTAATTTGTGAAAGTAGTATTTATGAGTGGATGTCTTTACTATAATTTTGGGGTAAGGTACACAACGGTGATGAGCTCATTGTTTGCTTGATTAAAAATTTGAACTTTTGTTGTTTCAGTTAGTTTTTCCTTAATTAGTTTCTTAGAGTAAGAATTAGGTGAATAGAATATCCACACACCAGATTGTACTGATGCCCTGAACCAACTTGGTGAAAAATGAAGTCTTAATATTTTCTGAAAGGGAAATGTAAGACAGTCTTATAGTTCTTGCGGCTTTTTTCACTTATATTTTTAATCAATACTGGAAGGAACTAAACTTGGAAATGGTTGTCATTAAAAGTTATTGATTTTTGGATGTATTAGTTCCATAAATAAAAGTCTGGGGAGATTTACATTTACTAATGACTGTTATAATAATTTTGGGATTCTCTCTCTTTCCCTCCCTCTCTTTGTAGACATACAGGGAAGCTTCCAATTCACGGCGATGCATCTGCCAAAGCCACATTATCCAGGGATAGGTTTGTCTTGTTGTTTCAGAGGCTTTCTCGTGACCCCGATTTTTCTAGGCCAGTTTTTGATACTGATATTTCTGATTACGGAAGCTGTCAGGTACCCCTACTCTCTCACCTATATAAACGTAAATCTTGTGCTATAGAGTGCTCATCTTCTAAAATTTTGTATATGATTTGGCAGATATCTACAATTCAATCTCTGGTTGGGCAAACAGAGAAAAGATGGGTGATGGGTTTGATATCTCAACTGGAGGATGGTCATTTCTACTTGGAAGACTTGACTGCAGCTGTGGAAATTGATTTAGTCAATGCAATATCCTTTGCTATTTCAGTTCATCATCTATTTTCTTCACCGAGTTTTGATACATATAGCTAGAATGAGTAACTTGGATTTAACATATTGCTGGCTATTAGGTTTCCCCAGAATCTATTCTGCTGACCATCTGAGAGAGAACATAATTCAAAGAAGTCCGCTCTTCCAAAACATAACATAATTCAAAGAAGTCCGCTCTTCCAAAACATACTATTTTTGTTTACTCTGCCCAATAATTGTGATGTAATTTTTCTGAAGACAGTAGTACTTACAATTTTGGGACTAAAAATAAACTTTTGTTCGTGAAAATAAGTTAATTCATATACTTTTATTATAAAAAAAAATAGAGATTATTCACTCAGAATATCATGGGAATAGATTTTGGGTGAATATAAACTTACAGTCGTGGAACCCCAGTTAAACTTTGTCCTTCACCTGTATATCTTTACATCTCCCCCCTTTACTTTTATTTAGTTGAACAAGCTGTGAGGATTTCAACCACCCCATAATAGTGACTCTTTGGAGGGTATCTAAAACAAACTGGTACAGTAACTCCTTGGTAGAGCTCCTAAACCTAACAGAGATAGTTCAGGGCTTGAAAGGAAAAAGTTCCAGTTTGTAGTTTCCTCGCAGTGATGCCTCAAAAATACTTTTCATCTGCATATTTATTCATAATACGACAATCAGTGAAAACTTTATTTTCAGACATTAATAGAAAATTTATAAAGAAGCACATTTTCTTTTACATGAAGCACAGAATAACAACAGTATATTTTTCAGAAAACACAATAGTGCTAGCGGAAGGCAAGATGCTGTTAAATGGTATCTTCCAGGTCGGCAAATCTTTAATTTGTGATCTTTTTTTTGACCAGTGATTTCCTCTGATACTATCATATGATACTTGTACATTACTCTCAGCTATTTTTTTGAACTAAATTAGCACCGTGATTTAGGAATTATGATCCTTCTAATAACGATTTTAATGTTGTTTGATTCTGGATACTGAAGTATGAAATGATCTGCGTTTAGGAAATTATTAAGTCGTTGAGGTTATTGTTGCCAGTCACTTAAACCATATCGATTAAATTTCAACTGAAGACCTAATTTCATGGAAATAAAGTCGATAAGCTAGATGTAGTGGAGAGAAGGGTTAAATGTTCCGTAACAGAAATTGATTTCTTTATATTCAATATATGAAATGACCACGACTTGCTGAAATTAACTCAACTGTCAATGTTTGGACTCCCTTGGACTTCTTCCAATTTTTTTTGCTAGTCATCAATTTAAAAAAAATACTTCTAGTATTGATTCCTTGTTCAGACTAATTAATTTGTACCATAATGTTATGCAGGTAAAAACATGTGGATTTCCTCCACTAGAGGACAGAGAAAAGTCAGTTGCATTGTTTTCTGGACTTGACTATTTTGGGAGTGGTTCCCTTACAAAAGAAGAGACTGTATCCTTCTATACCTGATAGAGGAAAAAGTTTTCAGTTCTTCACTTAAAGTGAATGAAGGTCAAATTTTCTTGACACTTTCAATAGCTTAGACTTGCAGAGCTAGAAACCGGTGCAGTGAAGGACATGTTTGTTGTTCTTTCTGATGTTTGGCTGGATAATGAGGAGGTAGGTGTTCCCTCTTTCCTTTAGATAATAATTTACTTGATTCATTGGCTTTCTTGTCTTGTGAACATTGATGTGTGATATTGTTGGTCCTTTATCTTAGAGAAGACTATAGGAAATCTCGAGACTGTCCTCAGTGGTTACGAGAATGAGGAAGTTGTTCCTTCTCTGTTTGTTTTCATGGGAAATTTCTGTTCTCATCCGTGTAACCTTTCCTTTAATGATTACTCGAGTCTAAGGTGAGAAAAAGTCTCGTTTGTTTCTCATTGTCACTAATCTTAGTGGAGTGGGGGACACTAACAAATGATTGCTGATGCAGATCGCAATTTGGGAAGCTGGGTCAGATGATTGCATCCCATCAACGTCTAAAAGAACTCAGTACATTTCTTTTTATTCCTGGTCCCGATAATGTAGGTATGTTGAGTAGATCTTTGCTGGTTTCCCTTAAAAATTTCTTGCATATGCACTGCATATCAAAGAGGAAATTGTTTCTGTTCGCTCAGGGCCTTCAACAGTTCTACCTAGATGTCCTCTGCCAAAATACATAACTGAGGAGCTTCAAAAATACATTCCAAATTCAATATTCTCAAGTAATCCATGCAGGTTTTTCTCTGTCCATAAAAACTTGATTAGTGAAAGTCTAGTTCTCTGAAGTGCATCCTGCATCATATGTGATGCTTGAATTCATGCTATGTGAATTCTAGTGAATATCCTAGACTTATGATATGAGGATGCACTCTTGGAACTAGCATTGTAGCTTGTAATATCAGTTAAATATCTGCTATCTGCAATTGTACTAATTTTTCTCTCGGTTTTCTTTTTCTACCCTGTGAACGTAAATACTTTTGAAATGGAAACCAGAATCAAGTTTTATAGCCAAGAAATCATATTTTCTGTCAGGATATACTTTATAGAATGCGCACGGCATGTCTAATGCCCCCATCTACAGAAGAAACAAGCGATCCATTTGAGCACGTGAGTCTGTTCTTCCACATTCATCATATAGTATGTGATAGCTGTTATCATTGAATATTGAGCTCAAATTACCGCTTGTGTGTCTTTATTGCAGCTTGTTGCTACCATAACGCATCAAAGTCATCTCTGCCCTCTGCCTTTGAGTGTACAATCCATTATCTGGAACTATGATCACTGTCTTCACCTCTATCCAACTCCACGTGGTAGTGCTCATTTCTAAACTTATAATGAGGTCTGTTCAATTTTTTCGTGATTTGTCAGTGAGAAAAATGGGGAAAAATAAAAGATTGCAAGTCCTCCAATATGTGAAATTTGAATTTCAAAAATTTGGTGGGTTATAATCAACACTAATTGAAGGTTAAGGGTTTGGGTTTTGAGCTTCTCATACCAGTTTAGCATGTTTCTATCAGGAGCTTAATTTTATACTGGATGGATATCCATTTCATATCTTATTTCAGAATGTTACACTTTATTTTTCAAAAACTCAGTTACTTCAAGACGTTCAAGCCTTCCTTTTTAAAAAAAGTGCCTATCAAGATCAAGAGGCTCCCTATCCTGGCTTTGGTAATTGTTTTAACAATAATCTGAAGGTCCAACCAAGTGGCAGTATGGTCTTCTCATTCCATACTCGAACATATTCAATATAAAACATGCAAAGAAAGCTTTAAAATTTTGAGTTAATTTGAACTCAATGAGATGTATGATATTGGAAAAACGTACTCCTCACCAGCATTCTCCGTGATCAAAGTGATTTATTATTTTATTGTACCACCAGCATTCTCTGTGATCAAACTAGATTTATTATTTTATTAATGATGTCGGAAATGTCTAAATTGGAATAACGCTGTCTCTGTCTTCCGTGCAGATAGTGTTGGGGGATAGAAGTGAGCAGAAGGCATTCAAATACACAGGAATTACATGCTTTAATCCTGGCTCCTTCTCAAATGGCTCTACTTTTGTGGCATATCGACCTTGCACTCGGGAAGTTGAATTATCAGCCTTGTAAGTACATAGAAATTACCACATTCTTGGGATATAAAGAACACTGAAACATCAACCTTGCTCTCGAGAATACTTCATTGTAGTAATACTGAAGAAGGTTAATAATTCATTATACAGAAGATTGTTAAATTATGCCACAGGAAAAAATCAGTTGCCATCCTTGTATCATCTAGTTATATTACAAGAATATAATTTGCACTCGAAGTGTTATTTTCATTCCTTTATTCTTTTTACTCAGTTTTGATTGATCTAAAGGGCAATTAAGCAAAATTCTTGAGTGCAGCTTTGACTTAATCAGACTTTTTTTCCTTCTTCCTGAACTGTTTAATGAAGCATAGGTCTACACGCCATTCAAAATAAATAATAGAAACTGATTTTCATGAATGACTTGAGCTTGATGATGATGGCTAAATAGCACCTAAATTTGTCTAATATTAATTCCAAATGTGTTTTATTCTTTATTATCCTCATTGCTCTTAGACTATGGCCACATGGTTTAATTCTAGCATCCATTTTCTGTTAAGCATCATCATTTCATATATGACTGCTAATTCAAGTCGAAATCAAAATTCACAAGTACACTGCATCGCATTCTAACTTTGTGTGATAGAAAGTAGCTTAAAACTATTGAGCTTGTATGTGCAAGCACGCGTCTATGTATGTACAAATATATGTGCGTTCAGCCTTTTGATTGGAAAAAAAAAGTTTCTTTCTGTTGGTGGCTTTTTTCCTTGAGTGTGGTTGAATAATCAATCGTTATATTTCTGTTCGCTTGAAAATATACCGCAAGTGCACTGGTCGCGTACAAGTAATAAAGTGGACTTTTTGAGTCCGGATTGTCGATCCCTCGAGGAATGTTACTTTAGATTACACGACTTTAATCAATTTAATTCTAACAATTAAATGAAACACACACAATTAAACATGAGATTTGAAAAGCGGTAAATAAGCTAAAAATCTACAAAATAAGAAAAACACAAATTCTTGGAAATTTCGGAGAAAGAACGTGATTGAGATTCGTGGTTTCGCTTAACCATCGCCTAATTAACTTCTCTACAAGCCAATTAATGAATTGCTCAATTCCTATGTTAGACCCGATTTTTCAATTTTAGTTAATTACCTCTCTCGAGTGAAATTAACCATAATTGATTGATTTAACCTACTATATCTCTATGTTGATTACAGCCAAACAATCGCATTCAATCATTGGGAAAATAGCTCATTGGGTCATCTAGGACTAATGGTATATCTCTATCCATTACACAAACCTAGGGTTCCTACTATTTGGTCTAAAATGCACAATCTTCTCTCGAACAATGTACAAATCACTAAACACAATCATCTATTGGCCACATAAATGAAAATGTATGGAAAACAATAATAAAAACACATGAGAATAAGCAACTTAAAATCAAATGGCAAATATAGAAATTAATCAAGGCTAGGTCAAGCTATTACCATAAAT